CAACATCTCCTGTTGGTGCAACTGCAATGCACTTTGCAACAAAATTGCACAAGACGAGTTGCAAGGTACAATTTCCTAGTGCAACATCCCCTTGTCAGTGCAATTGCATTGCACAACAAAATCATAAGGCAGGTTTCAAGGGATAATGCCTAGAGTAGAAATGCCTTTTAACCCATGCATTAAATCTGATGAAAGCCTAGAGATTGTTGTAATATTATTGTGTTAATACTGTCGCCTCTATCTGCTAAATAATGCTATTATTCTTATATTAAGAACTTGTTCAATTTTCTTTACAGAAATCATCAAAACAGACATATTTTTTCTTATTGTATTTATCATTGTGATGGTATTGGCAATGCACTTGACATGTAAGTACAGACAAACCTATTTAGCCTTGTAAGTTCCCTAAATGGGGGTTTACTGTATAGCACATACATGGTATAGTCGGCTGTAAAGTTGTTAATGGTTTCCCAAGAGAATGCTTATCATATGAGTGACAATGTATGATAATGACAAATAGAAAATATGAGGCACAGTATCCTGTAACATCGCAATGGTTCCCCATAAGAATGGTTATTATATGAGAAAAATTTATAGTACTTACGTACAGCACATACATGGAAGGACATGCTGTAACATTGAAATGGCTTTCCATTGTTTTCAAGTAAACCATCAAATCAGAATGCAGTTTCAGTAAAATAATTGGGACAATTTCAGTATGACCACAAAATTGATGTGCCATAAACCCCATTTTAATCAATGGACATTTAGACTTTGAATATTAATTATCTCAAATACTGGTTTTGGAACTGTGCAACTGAATACTACATTTTACAGTTCCATTTAGTTTATTACCATGAATAATAGTTCCTAGCCGAGGCTGGAGTTTCCGCACATAGCAAAACTACAGTTTATCATGCGCAGAACTCCAGCCTTGCCTAGAAACTATTATTCATGGTCACTGAATGGAACTGTAAAATTAAGTATTGTACTTGCATTGTTTTTGAGTTACTTCTTATTTACTTGAATGTGTAGTCTATATTTTAATTAGTACTCTAACTAACCATAATGATATAATGTTGTGTCGTAGATGTATTAATAGGTCGCAGGCTGTTCCATTATACATATAAACTCTTCCTGGGATCTTTAGTTTTAGAAGGTAAGAAGAGTTATTTTCATCTTGATTTGTCATGATAATAGACCTTTACAGCTTGGGCGTAATATCAATGATTTTTCATTTTAAACCTTATATAATTCCCTTGAAAATAAGCTTCTTTGTTGTTAAAGGGTTAGTGGATGGGGGGTGAGGGAATTCCTGGAAAGCGGTCTGAAACATCTATTAAAGCATTCCTTTCATACATTTTTGAAAATAAGTTGGTAGGATGTTAGTGTAAGAATGTATCAGTAGGATGTCAGTTGCTAACATTAGAATGAAAGTAATTGCCATGTTCCTTGTAAAGTTGGTTAAATTTACAATCCCTTCAAAAATAAACACATRCTCTATGAGACCAAAGGCTAATGTTTGTTTTGTCTGTGTTGCAGTTATAAGTTTAATCACACATATCAGTTACTATGTGAATTATGGGAATACAGGAAGATCTAAATATGGAATTAAAGTCCTAGGTATGTTAAATTCAGATCAAATTCAGGGAAGGTACACTTTTATTGGATTGGGGTGGGGAGGGTTGGGGCTTTTAGAGGGGAGGGTTATCAGGAATAATATTATTGAAGAAATAGAAAACGTGCTCGCTTGCTGTGTGCTGTCATAAAGTACGCAGGGGTTGGCAGAACACGAGAGAAGTGTAAGGAGAAGCACAACGTGTAGCAGAGTGCTTGTGGACACTTCTCGAGTGTTCTGCCAATCCCAAGTGCTTTATGACTGCACGCAGCACAGCAAGCAAGTTTTTTATTTCTTTTATAAAATACAAATTACAATTATAATAGATAGGAATGAAGCAACGGAAAGTGCGCGCACGTGCAGTGTGCTCTCATAAAGTACRAGCTCCAAACCAAACATTCATAACAGTTATTTTATAAGAAATTTTTGAAGGGCCAAACCTTATTTTGACGAAAGTGGTTTCCTTGTAGGGCTGTAGCAACAATGAGGCAAACAAGGAAGTTGCATCTGTAAAATGTCACAAATGCCYGCCTTCAACACTTTCTTTGCTAGTTTCCCTGAGCTGTTTTAGTCTTGTTTCATTCCCCATGCCGTTCCATTTCCTCCGTAAACAATTTGGTCTGGCTAAGGCACTGTTTTATTGATTAGAATTAATAGGAGAGTCAGGAATTTCTTACTGAGTAGCAGGGCTATAACTAGGTTACTGCGAATCCCCCAGCCCTCCCTTCCATAAAAAATGTACCTTTCCTTAGTAGCTGTATTATTTGAAAAGCAACTAACATTAAAACCAAATTTCCTTACTTTTACAGTGGATTTCACATAACTTTTGACAAAGGGGTTCTGAAGTTTGTTCACAAGTTCTAAATTTGCCAACAAACTTCGTATAATTCGTTATGAAGTTTGAACCAAATTACTGAAAGCAAAAAAACAAAGTTCTGAAAGTTCATTCCAAGATTGGGAACTTAACTGATGCTAATTTCATAAACATGCAAACTTTGTTGACACTAGCTGTACGTTGGTATTTGGTTTTTCACTTCCGCACAAACTTCGGAACCCGATTGTCAGAAGTTATGTAAAATCCACTGTAAAAATTAAACCCTGAAACATATGTTTGCTCTGTAGGTAATGTCTTTCATTACACTGCACATATTACATTTGTTTTGCTGTTAATATTATTGGGCAAAGGATGGACAGTTACAAGGTAAACTTATGAGATCATCTGCATGGCACTTAATTCAGTATGGAGTTACTTTATTAGTGTAATGTAAAGTCAAGATAGTCTTTGAAAAATAAAAATAAAATAATTATTAGTCTAGTCATTCTAACTTTCATACTAATTGGGGACGCTTCTTAACTCACAAACACTACCACTGTATTCAATGTTCTATGCACACAACACTCAACTTACATGTTGATTCTTATGAAGAGAGGAAAACCAGAGAATCCAGAGAGAACCCTTGTAGCATAGGAGAGAACCACACATCAAACAAACTCAGCTCACATACTAGCTTGGGCAAGGGAACTTGGACATGGGTCTCCTAACAAACATCTAGTATTGGTGAGAGGTTGACGCATTAGTAATATAGACTACCCATGCTACCCATAGTGGAAGTGCAAGTGAGGTAGCCAACCAGGGTTTCTTATTTGTACCAAGTGCAGTAGTTTGAAACCCCATTTCAAAGTTCTAGTACTTTGAAATATTTCCAAGTCCTACTACTCGGACTTGGAAATATTCCAAAGTACTAGGACTTTGAAATAAAAACAAACATAACAAAAAGAGTATAAGATGTTGTGTCAAATACTCATCACTGTATTCTATTGGGGTTTCAAAATCCGAGTGGAATTTCGGCTACTCGTTGGCATTTGAAATTCCACTCGGATTTTGAAACCCCAATAGAATACAGCAACTTGTATTTTGAAACATTACATCTGATACAAGTTAAAATAATTTAATGAAGTAACCCATGGCAATCTGATACAAGTTAAAGTATACTCAATCCAATCAGACGTCATTAATTCCATTACTGACAAATCTTGTTGTGTTTCAGAGGGCGAATCAGCAGTTCTGGTCAAGTCAAGCTAAGTGCGTTCTGCACACTATATGGTGTATGTGTTGCTGTGTTGTTCATTTTTGAGGCTATTGTGAGTATTAACTTCCTTTACTTCTACCTTATTTTATTGTTAGGGCTCGAAATCATGGCCGGTCAACATACTAACATGCAATAATATTTCAATTCTCTAAAAATGACTAAAAACTAAGAAATTACTTTAATTTTCATTAATATTTATCTGTATTGGGATTTAGAGATAATTATAATTAAAGAACTTTGAACTTTTGATCACAACACAAGAAAAAATTGTTATCTGTGATTTTTATCCTACCCATTAGTCTTCTTCGGTATATCTTTGATGTTACTTCAGCCCACTAGCAAATTTCTTCCATATATATGTGAGTGCAAATAAGTTTTGAGGATATGTCAGGGGAATGTGTAGTGCCCCCCATCTTGGTTGAGACTGGGCTGGTAGGCATAGTTGTGAATAGTCTTTTTTGCCCTATGCTCGAAGTACACCAGCTCTGTTGCAAAGAACAAGAAAGCAGGGCCGTAGCCACTATGAGGCAAGTGAGGCAGTTGCCTCGTGGGGTGGGATGTCGCAAATACCACTCAAAACTCTGGAAATCGCATTTCTGAGGGTCTTAATTTCAAAATGTTCTGCGGCCGTATGCCCCAACCCCCTATTTGCTCCCACCTTTGCTGCTTGTTTGCCTTGGTAAACATTAAGAACTGGCTACGACACTGCAAAGAAATCAATATCCTTGCAACAAGGTCAAGAGGTCAAGATCCTTGCTACAAGATAAGAGGTCGCCTGAGATTCTTGCTTGTTTGCTAATCTAGTAAATATGGTTGACTTGTGTCTTAGGTTTTTGACCCAGGTCAAGTGCTGTATATCTATGAAAGCCCTGCTGGTATTGGGATCTGTGTGCTAAGAGTAATTGTAAGTAAACAACATGTGCTTCAATCTGTTAAAATTCGATGATAATCGTAATGACTGTGATGATGACGACTGTGATGGTGAAAGTGATGATACTTTTGTTGTGGTAATTATCATAATGATGACAACTGAGATGATGGTGGTGTTGATGATAATGACTATGACTATGATGATGATGACAATGACTATGGTGAAGGTGATGATGATGACTATGATGGTGAAGGTGATGATAATGGCTGTGATGATAGTGATGTGATGATGATAATGGCTGTGATGGAGACAATGACAATGTATGATGATGATGACTCTAATGGTGAAGGCGATGATGATAATAATAATGACTGTGATGGTGTTGATGATGACTATGATGACGGTGATGACAATGATGACTCATATGGTACTGATAATGATGATGACAGTACTGATGAAAATGATGATGATGGTACTGATGATATTATGATGATGATACTGACAGGGCACCAAATAAACACATACAAACTAGCAAAATGTGGGTGAAATTTTGTATTTAGCGAGAGACAAAAAATTTAACAGCTAAGTTTTACAAACTGGTATTGCCACAGTCCAGAAATCGAAGGTCTGAAAAATTTAGAACCTGCATCAAGTAACATTTGTTATTCGCCATATCCTATCACTAGTGCCTTTGAAATTTTTGCTAATAAGAACAAAACTTACTAGCAAGGTTTTGCTAGAAGTGGGTTTAAAATTAAATTTTGTGAGCTGACTTATGATAATGATGACAGCGGTGATGGTGATGCTGATGATAATGATTATTCTTATGATTTTAGGCATGGTTGTGGTTCTGCTGTGGCACATTCTTTACCCTTAAACACTACCCAAGCAAGTCTGCATTCTATTACCCATTTTGGTTCTTCTATACTGCATGGTAAGTCATAATTATCATCACACTTAAATGATTGATTGTTATATAGTTATTTTAGTTTATAGAATGTACCACAGCAACCATACAAACATAACAGCTTGGTGAGAAACACCTTACTCTGATTTTCATAAACATGTGAACTCTGTGTCTCCAAGTTGCCCACTGAAATTTGTTATGTTTTTTTGCCGCCAGCCAAAAATATGAAAGGTACTGACTGATTAGGTTTGATTGATGGCAGCAAGAAACTAAATTTCAGCATGCAACTCGAAGACACACAGTTCGCATGTTTATGAAAATTACAGTAATATATAGGACCATAAATATCTAATATCTTAGTACTTTCATGCATTTATATTTTGCTGACACATACACCCTATAATATACATATAAATACTTGTAAATAACGTTAATAAATTGTGTTTAGGTTTTTGGCCGGTCCAATAATAGTTGTAGTATCAACATTTGTAATTTCAACATGGGCAAGGTTAGTTCTACGTTATTTTTATGAGGTAGTAGTAGAGGCATGTTGCAGCAGTATTGCACTCATTCTTTTTCGCAGCATATTAGGGTAGCAAGTATTTTCTTTGAGGCTTTAATCAGTATCATTGAAACCAAGTGTCTGTTTGACTCTATCTATTTATCACCTCTGTGGTGTGAGGTTTAAAGGGGGACTAGCATGAAAATCATCCAAATTTTAATTCAGCTGAAAGTTTTAATAGTCGCTGGTTAAAGTTTTTTCCTGATATTCCAATGGGAAGTATTATATTTTTGCGAATTTTTATAGGAGTCTGTGACGTCATACACTCAACACTAAACATTGCTCCATACATTTCTTTGTAAATAACATTATGTTTTACTTTCATTCTATTAAACCCAAAGGGCCGCTTAGGGACTTAACATACATAACTTGCGGTTAGAATCATTTTATGGTATCTTTTCTTCAATACTGAGCATAAAACTAGAAGATATTTTGATTACAAAATACAAAGAAATGTATGGAGCAATGTTTAGTGTTGAGTGTATGACGTCACATAAAAATTCGTTAAAATTCGTTACTTCCCATCTGAATATCAGGAAAAAACTTTAACCAGTGATTATTATACCTTTAAGGGTTATTCCAGCAAAGTTTCAGCTGAATTAAAATTTGGACGATTTTCGTGCTAGTCCCCCTTTGATTTCTGGACTTGGTGTCACATGTGAATAGGGGTCTCACCCTTGGTTTGAGAGTTCTTCTCAGGGTTCTCTGGTYTTTCTCTTCCACCACAGCAGATTCCATATTATAATATGACCATTTGGAATTAATAGTTACTTCCTAATCATGTAATATAAAATTTAAAATTTTTGTTAACAGAGAGCAAGTGGTCAATGGTATAGAATGGGGAGTATCATTCCTGGCACATGTATTTTTCTTGGTAAGAACTTGTGAAGGATATTTAAGAGTAGTTCTAATAGAGCATAGGACTTTGTTTGATGATTTTGAACACAGTCATAGCATACCATGCATCATGGGATACCTTGGGTAAGATTTTAATAATAATAATAATAATAATAATAGTTTATTTATCCACATAACGCCTAGGAGCATTTCACATACTCGTTTAAAATG